TTGGAGGTAAACAATAAAACCGGCAGCAAAAAAAAAAAAACGGACACCAAGACAAAAATAAATACGAAAAAAACAAATTATGCAAACAGAAAACAAAGAAAATACCCACAACACAAACACAAGAACAAAAACACGTAATAAACCAAATGCATTAAGGTTTCTCTATATACTACGAATTGTTTAGTCTAAAATTACTCCTCATATAAACAAGAGAGAATTGGACGCTATAGAAAAAAAAAATATCTTGTGACAGTAATTGTTGTGGTCCTGTGGTGATCGTAGTAATATAACCTGTTAACTTCCCATAACTTGATGTCTTGTTTAACCTCATCCACCATGCAATTCCATCGTACGATCAACAAGATCCACACATGTAATAATCCAACCCACTTTTATCCACTTCCTGTCCTTCCACCTTATGACACTATCCAAATATCCACCCAAAACAATCCATCCCATTTAATTATCCATTCTCAATCCTACCATACATATATACAATATACAGACCAAAACACATAATATGACCCGTTTTAAACACACACAAACAAGTTGTGTTAAGGCCAACTTCAGACAAGAATCAACCTAACCTAACCTGACCTAACCTAAACTAATCTAAAATTTCTCCACAACTTTATTATTTCTTCCAAGTTCAATATTTATTTTGATTTAAACTACAACAAACACACCACTACTACTACTTACAATAATAAAACACTGCACAAGAAAACACCAAACACCAAAACGAACTTAACCTAACCAACTAAATTATTATTTTTTTTGGGGGGGTGAGGTAATTACCGTCTTCACAGAGTTATTTCACACACACACAATAATAAATAAAAATCTTTGGGCCACATAGCTTTTACGTCATCTAAAAAGCCAATTAACTTCCATGAAGGTAAGTCACTGAACCAATCACCTTGCAGCACGTTCACATATAGCCAATCAGCTTCCGGGACGCTAAGCAGCTCAAGCCAATTACCTGTCACCTGCTTTCCCAAATGCACTAATGCGCAGCCAAAGTCAGAAATAATATGGTTCGTTTTATACCTGTGTCTATATTACCAGGAAAATATACAAAACAAACAGGTGTTTAACAAAAATCATTAATGAAGTGAAATATATAAGCTAACACAGGTATGTCTAATTACAGGTGTTTCTAACGAATGAAAATCATTACTGAAGTGAATTTTATATATATATATATATATATATATATATATATATATATATATATATATATATATATATATATATATATATATATATATATATATATATATATAAAGTTAACTAAGTATGATAATTAATATGATTTGATATTGATTTTTTACCTATAATTATTGTAACAGACTATCCCATCATGAGTTACGCTGTTCCATTATGAGCTACACTATCCCATTATGAGCTACACTATCCCATTATGAGCTACACTATCCCATTATGAGCTACACTGTCCCATTATGAGCTACACTGTCCCATTATGAGCTACACTGTCCCATTATGAGCTACACTGTCCCATTATGAGCGACACTATCCCATTATGAGCTACACTGTCCCATTATGAGCTACACTGTCCCATTATGAGCTACACTGTCCCATTATGAGCTACACTGTCCCATTATGAGCTACACTGTCCCATTATGAGCTACACTGTCCCATTATGAGCTACACTATCCCATTATGAGCTACACTGTCCCATTATGAGTTACACTGTCCCATTATGAGTTACACTGTCCCATTATGAGTTACGCTCCATCTACTTTCATCACTTCTCCCTCTTCCTCTTTCCATTCTTTCCCGCCCTTCTTCCTTATCTCCTCTTTCTTTCTCTCTCCCTCAATAATTACCTCCCTGGACTTAAAAGCTCATTATTACCCCCATTAATACCCATTAGTCACTTCTCGGTAATAAGCGTCTGACACCTTTATTAATACTTGTTAAAATGGCATTAATATATACTTCTTCTAGCGAAAATTCCCCCCAAAAAACTCCAGGCGTAAATTCCCACAAAAAATTCTAGCGAAAATTCCCACAAAATATCACAACCACGAAAAAAAAATATTATTGACGGAGGGAAAATGACTAACTGCCTGGATAAGAGATTAGATAGATAAGATGATAGATAATGTGATAGATTGATAGATAGATGTATGATTGATGACAGTTACAGATGACAGATGTTTGACATATAGACAGATAAAATATATAGATATATTAATCTAGATGTGACAATTTACAGTATAGGCATCATCATCAGTCTTCAGGGCAAATTGATGGCGTCTAAACAACACATTAGCCTTACTATTCTCCAAATGGTAACTGGAAATAAACACCTGTTAATACGAAGAAGGGGAATAGAGAAAGGGGAATAAAGAGGAGATTAAATTTAAAAAAATGACTTCACTCTGATATAAAAGGAAGTGGGATTTATTTATTTATTTTTAATCCACTCTTTTTAACACTTCGCCATCTTGAGACAACACACCACGATTAGCGACCTCAGTTTATTTCACCTGATGATTGAACACCCAAAACCTTAATGGATGGATTAGGTTGTTAAGGTAAGGTAAGGTAAGGTAAGGTAAGGTAAGGTAAGGTAAGGTAAGGTAAGGTAAGGTAAGGTAAGGTAAGGTTAGATTAGGTAAGGTATGGTTAGATTAGGTAAGGTAAGGTAAGGTAAGGTTAGATTAGGTAAGGTAAGGTTACGTTAGCTCAAGTAAGGTTAAGTTAGATCAGGTTAGTTTAGCTCAGGATAGGTTAGATTAAATTAGGTAAGGTTGGGTTAGGTTAGTTCAGCTCAGGTTAGGCTAGGTTAGGTTAGGTTAGCTCAGGTTAGATATTGTTATCACAGGTTAAGTAAGATTATATCAGTTAGGTTATGTATGCTTAGCTTAGCTTATATTAGTCATGGTTAGGTTAGATTATATTTGGTAAAGTTATATTAGGTTGAATCTGGTTAGAGATTAGGTTACATTAAGGTAAGGTAGGGTAGGTTAAATTAGGGTAGGGTAGGGTAGGGTAGGACAGGGCAGGTTAAGGTAGGGTAGGACAGGGTAGGTTAGGGTAGAGTAGGCTATCTATCTATCAGGGTCGGAGATTCACAAAACCTCAAATGAACAATAAACATAAAATAACATCAAAATAGTACTAACTAGACTTACTAGATACGTTCACTTAGTATATAACAAAAACGAGAAGAAAAGCTCAAGTGAATCTTTTCTAAATAAATTCTATAAACTTTGGTCTCTAAACTAGAACCTGGTGAAACTATCTATTTTAAGTCCCAATATAATGTCAGTGCTGTTTGGGGGGTCATTTATGTATTGGCGTTTTAACTTAAAGGGAATTTTCATCGTAGGAGCTTTTTGTGAATCCGCGCCCAGCATCACTGACGTGTTGAGGATGCCATGAACAGAGTCGGGGTTCACTATTTTCTATTTCATAAACACTAATACAAAATAATCACTCGTCGTACGGATACAGCAATGTAGCTTATGTATATATATATACGGTACATGAAAACAATAAAATCACAAAGTGTTCTTAAAAATCCTTCAACACTGGTAATACTGGTCGAGTTTTTTATTGGTACTACTTAAGAATTAATAGTTTACAAATAGACATTGATTTTACGGATCTTTTTTTATTTTAGGAATATTGCTCAAATACATCATGATTTCGTTGTTTAGCAAGACATATTCACATGTTTTCAATACTTTCGTTACCGCAATTTGAAGAACATAAACATTTTTAGATTTTATTCTTGGCGGCCAAACGTGAACATCTTGTCATGTCATGATCGTGATGACGGCGAACCTGAAAACCTTAAGGATTCATATTACGCTCAAACGTCCACAAAACCTTTCGAGTCCCCCAGTGGAAACGTCCCCCGTTTTCTCTGTTTCTTAAGGGAACTTTGAATATAATCCGCGGATTTCGTAGCCGACGCTGTATGTTGGGACCTGTTGCCATCCAACCCTTTGTAATCAATTTAATTTTGCTTTTGATAGCTGAGTCAGAGCATTGTTAGTGAGGATAATAGTAGGGAATGAAACTGAGTTCATAGTCTCAGTTTCAACGTCAGTGTACAGTAAATTAATTCATCAAAATAGAAGTAAGTGGACTCCCTGGCCTATTTTGAGTGAGGGTGCCGCGGGCATTTCATCGGTTAGTAAGTGCTCGCCCCTTCATCCTTACAGGTAGGCCATTCCACTCTGTGTTGTAATTCGCCCTTCTTTAAGTGATTTGACCCAATGAATAGTTGATTTTTTTATTTATTTATTGGGCACCCCCCTACATCCTTGTGTAAGGTGAAGCGCAGAAGCGTTTACAGCGCCCAACAGGGAAGCATGCTAAGTTCATGCTTGCCTTTGTGTCTCACGAGTTAAGGGCGTAGAAGCCTGAAGAGTCACGGACAAAGAAGCCTGAAGAGTCAGTGGTTTTTTGTCATGAAGTTATTGGAAGCTCCAACAACTTTCCCTGAATACGAATTCGCAATTTTCGATTTACACCAGGTACCTACTTTACTGCTAGGTGAACAGGGACTAATGGGGGCTAGGAAGTAAGTCCAAACAACTTCCACCGGCCCGGGAATCGAACCCGTGACATCTCGCTTGCGAGGCAAGAACGGTACCGCATCTACCACCAATCTAATAGTTGATTGTGCAAGTGTTACAGTAACGTAGTTGATGGCAACAGGTCCCAACATACAGCGTCTGCTACGAAATCCGCGTATTATATTCAAAGTTCCCTTAAGAAACAGAGAAAACGGGGGACGTTTCCACTGGGGGACTCGGAAGGTTTTGTGGACGTTTGAGCGTAATATGAATCCTTAAGGTTTTCAGGTTAGCCGTCATCACCATCATGACAGTCACATCCCTACCACACACACACACACACACACAGTCAAACCTGTCAATACCTCACCCCCTGAGTCTGGTCCATTTTCTGTGATGAGCGCCAAGCCGTGTACGTTCTCTAAAAGAATCTTCGTTGTCAGGGAAACTACGTATCTCAGTATAAACAAAACAAGTCTGGAGTAGTTCATTCCTTACTGTGCTGTGAGTAACCCCTTCCTCTTCATTGTGTTAAACGACCATAGTGATGTATAGCCTCATACTGATAATCAACGTTGTTATGGATTTATTTATATACAGAGGAACTTCATTAGGTGAGACGAGATAAAGGTGTTGTATAGTAAACTTCTAATCTTCAGAGTCACCGGTAAGTAACCTGCCGGTATTTTGTTAAGCATTCCTGCGTTAGAAAAACAGAAGTTCTCACTAAATATTGATTTACTACATAAAACAATTCTCACCTTCACTGAATGACTATGTGAAGTACTCGTTGGGCATTTTGTAAAACACTTGGCTTGCCCACACACCAGTGACTCAACATTCACTTGACAACTCCTCAAACGCGGTCATTCAACAAGGTAACAGGAGAGGATGTAAGCCTACCTACCCTTTAAACAGTTTAATGACAACACGGAAAATAATTATGCATGGTTCTTTATAAATGTAACATTATTTTCTTACAGTTTGGTGCATTTTAACTGCATCGTTGGACATTCCATTCTTATTTCGTAGTCATCCTCCCTTAAATGAAAAAGTACCAGTCCCTGCCTCATTTATAACTATCAATTACATTTAAATATCGTAGAAAAAATCCAATTAAGATAACAGGTTCCTCAAAAAATAATAATAAATAAACACGGTCTTAATCCATACATCTAAGGTTGGCAACACAGGTATGTTCAAACAGACTAACTACAGCCGAAGTTTCTATCCTAAGCCTCACCACCGTAAGCATGTTGGGACAAAGGCTATACCATATAACACTGAGCTTCGTGACCGTGACATTGACCTATCCCAGTTGCCATATCCATGAAGAAAATGTCACTCTCTACCTGCTTATATCTTGCATCTCCCTGGCAGGTAGGGGAAGGAGGAAGAGCGAGGGTAATGGAGGAGCTGACATGTTCGGTGTGTTCGGAAATGTTCGAGGGTGGGTTGAGGGAGCCCGTGGTACTACCTCAGTGCGGCCACACCTTCTGCCGTCCCTGCCTCCTCAACCTGCAGTCCATGCACAACGTCCTTAGGTGTCCCGCTTGCAGGAGGAAACACAAGGGCGCCTCTGTGGAACACCTTCCCACCAACTTCACCGTCCTTAACCTCGCCGCAGCCCACACACAGGTATAAGTAACAAAAGTTGCATCAGTTCTTAATTATTTGTCTAGTTAAGCAATAATTAAAACGTGATGATAAGACCTTAGCCGTTGAAGCACATTAACAACAACAACCGGGAAGCAGGATTATAGTATTTACTGTACCAATAATGAATTAAATTTAACTCCAGGAATCTAGAGGCAGGTGTGACAACTGTACACAGGTAGAGGCAGGTGTGACAACTGTACACAACTAGAGGCAGGTGTGACAACTGTACACAGGTAGAGGCAGGTGTGACAACTGTACACAACTAGAGGCAGGTGTGACAACTGTACACAGGTAGAGGCAGGTGTGACAACTGTACACAGGTAGAGGCAGGTGTGACAACTGTACACAGGTAGAGGCAGGTGTGACAACTGTACACAACTAAAGGCAGGTGTGACAACTGTACACAACTAAAGGCAGGTGTGACAACTGTACACATGTAGAGGCAGGTGTACAGAGGGAGTCATAGCGTCAACAATGGCCTGTTTTCCTTACCTTGTGTTGGGGCTCCTCGACTTGATCCATCCCTTTAAATTTTAAAACACCAGATGTACACAATGGGCCTTGAAGGTTTTACGTTCGTTAAATACATTATTACCCGAAAGTGCATTTCAAAGGTAACTGGCAGCACAAAGTGCACGGACTAGAATGTCAAGGAGTGAAAATATGCAACACTACCACACACCGACCATAAACAACACCTGAGAGCCTCAATGACCATTTGACTCTGAGTCGGAGTATGACGTTGAATTCAGAAAACCGGCTGTACATTCTAAATAATTGCTCCTATATTTTTTCTTGTAAATTTATCTATCATATTATTTTCTTTCGTGTCCATTTTTATTTCTCATGATTATAAGACAATATTTACTTAAATGGCTAAAATGGATTTAACTAAATATCAAAGAAATGATTGTCCGAAACTGTTAAAGCCTTAGCTTTAGACCAAATCATTAAAGAGAACAATTTTATCTTACTTTTCGATATTCCCATGAAAATTAATATTAAGAAAAGTATTATTGAAAGGCTACCTTCGTCAATTTTCTTTGATAATTGATGCCACAACAATATCAAATAAAGACGAAGCCGCCGTCGATGAATATCGATAGAACACATATGCACAGATTCCCATTGCTTGGCAAGTTTTATATCCTAATTATCAGACGTATTATTTATTATTGTGTTAATTTTAATATATTCCATTTGCTATTTGGAGTTCAAAATTATAAAACAAAAGTTAAACTTCATTTTAAATTTGCCAAAATGGATACGAAAATATCATTTAGACTTTTTGACATGAGGCTTACGTTTTATGATGCTAACACACATGATACGAAATGGTAGAAAGTGTCAAACATTAGATACTATTTAAAAAAATGAGAAATTGGATACGTTTTATATTTTTTTGCTTATTCCATAAATTATTCCTTTTTCATATTCTTTATTACTAATATTTTTCCGGATGATTTTGTCCCATTATGATACTGAAGTTTAAAACACCTTTCTCAGATATGCATATAAGCAAGGGTGACGAACGTGAAATGTGATATCGACTTTATGCTCCCCAGCACACGGGTGACGTTTGTTTATCTTCTGCCAACACAAGTTTCCCCGTCGTTGTAATTGGAACCTCCATAGTAATGAACTAACTACATTGGTGGACCTTGATTTGAAAACGCTTATTTTTTGTTTTTTTATTTCCCTCCCTCTCTCGCGGTTATGCAAAAGAAATAATAAGTATATTACAGTATGGCACATCGAGGTAGGGAAGTTTAGAGATGGAATCCTTTTAAAAGGAGAATTCTCCCTCAGATCAAATAATACGTTACGTTCTTGTCTATGTTACCAAAACTTTCACAATTTATGTCGGCTTTACTAGTTCTTCTTTACTAGAGGATACATTTTAGAAGGTTATGGATACGTTTTAACCTTTTTAGTACTTTTTGGGATACGTATTGATTTTTCCCACTGGCAGCACTACATTAAACGAGTGACTTAACAACATATTCTTAATAACTCCCATCCAGGTTCTTGATCTGGATTATTTCATTTTAAACGAAATAGTGGAAAATGAACGCACCTGAAACGATTTCCCAGACTGTAGGTCATCTTATTCAACCACTTACGGTAACACATGACGTGGTTGCACTTACTGTACACTATTCTCTTAGAGAATGTGTACAGTACAACCAGCGCCAGTGTCGGACTGTACTGCCTCCGCTGTATGATAGCCAAGAATATTCATCACAATAGGTTCCCTAGACCTAGAGCATGAAAGGCCTGGTCAGGTGCTACCAGAACTCCTAGATGCCCTGCTGGTGGTCCCTGGTTGTCTCTCATGGTCCCTGGTGCTAAATATTTAAGGTGTTTTTACATTTAACTTTATTCTAATGTTTCAGGGAATTGAACTTGTATGTTATTTCTCGCCCGTATAATGTAGCAACAAAATGCTAAACAACTTTACCTGCTCAACACTACACACACACACTCCTCGGGCCCAGGTGTTAATTTTATCATCATCTTTGTGGTCGTGAATAACTTATACACTTTATTGGTAGTTTCAGCAGGAAAGCGAAGCGTGCCAGAGCCACGGTGATCCTGTAAGGCTGTGGTGCCGCTCGTGCCAAGAGTCATTGTGTGGACAGTGCCTCTTCGAGAGGCACATGGCTGACGCCCACCACGTGATCAAGATCCAGGAAGTGGTGCAGGAGAAGAAGCAGACATTAGAACGACAGACGACTGAGCTGCTGGACAACGTGGAAGAGGAGAGAGCCAGCCTGGCCAGGGAGGTGCACGGTATCGCCCACCACCTGGCCTGGGTACACACCAGGAGTACTACCCTCACCAAGCATATCAAAGACGTACACAGGATCTTGAAGGGTGTGAGGAAGACAACGCGTATGGAAGCAGTATTAACTAATGAGAATAGCTTAGAAAGTTTGTCCACCCAGCTGGGGAGAGGGGCCTGTGATGACGTCAGAGGACACGCTGACGATGTGCAGGCGGCGACAAACAGACCACCAACACCACTGACGGTTGATTATTGTAACACCAGTCAAACTGATCCCTATTACGGCACCCCTGGTAGCCACAATGAGAACAACAATCGCCACTTAGACACTAACGATAACCCCAAACGAAGCCTTAAGTTAGTTGACAAGGAAAACAACATCCGGGCACCAAAGTCGGTCGTAGACGAGGACTGTGAGGTGAGTACAGACGAGGAAGACCGTGGTCAGAGACCTCACAACAGATGAAACAAGGCTGACACTGACCAAGACCAGGATGATAGTCAGGTGTCAGCTACAGAGAGCGGGCCGAGGATGAGGCCAGGGGGTGAGGCGGCGGTGTGGCCGTTGACTGGTGGTGGTCCTGCAGGAGCCTCGCCCTGGCCACTTATCGACTGGCAACACTTCTGTTATCAGGTGAGACCACCAACACATTGCTTATAATAGATTAGCACGTGTTCCAGGCCAACACTTATTACTTTGCTGAATAATACAGCTAATTGATGCGAATTCCTCTATTATTCGTTAGTTTGTGGAGTTGTCTTTCAGATGACCTGAAAGGTTATGGAACGTTAAACTACAAATAGTTTATGAAAACGTGTATAAGATTTAAAGATAAAAGTCTTTGTAGTAACATTTAACTTCCCTGTGCTACATTTGTAATACTCTATATTCCAAAATACGGTTCAGGTGTTGCAGCACTTGTGTGACATAAAACGTGTGTTGCAGCTGATCAAAATAAGTTGCTAAAACTTTACCAGCCATATCGTGACCTGTTGTCGTGTTGCAGTTACCAGTGGTACAACTGCTGGTGCCTCCGGAGAAGCCCGAGGTGTTCCTACAGCTAGGTGTGAGAGACAAGATTCTTGGCCGAGTTCACATCCGTCTGTGGGGACACCTGCGCCGCGCCCAGCACTTCCTGGCCTTGTGTCTGGGTACATTCGGTCCCACCTACAAAGGATCAAGGTTCTCCAACGTCGCCAGGAAAGGAGAACCTGGGGAGAGTTTAGTCGGCGGCCAGTACAGGACGGAGGACGGCGGTACCAGATCCCACGGCCTGCTTGAGGGCCTGGAATGGCGGGGGCAGTACTCTGGCCCAGTGAAGGAGGGGGTGTTAGGGGGAGCCAGTGACGGGGACCCGACTCTCGAGTCCTTCTTTGGGATCTGTACTCGAGACTATCCCAATGGTGAGTATTACTGTCCCTTTGGGGAGGTGGTGGCCGGGATTGAAGTGGTACACAGGGCCGTCTCTCAGGACCCAGTGAGTGACGTCACTATCACTAACATCACGTGGGGAGACTCAGATTGTTAACACCACATCTCTGTTACTCGCGTCCATCAGTCAACAGATAATGCCGTACAGCACAGTGTTCCTATAGTAATAACGAGTCGAAACGTTAATCAATAAAATGTATAAGTTATCAACACACGACACAAGACACTCTTCACGAAACATTGTAGAATCATCTAATACCACTCTACCACAACCACTCCTTACCTACAGCGCCATGTACTAATCAAATCCCAGCGTCTACACTCAAGATACTGGTATAAATGTTCTTCTCCCCAATCTTTCTGAACAAGTGGCTGGAATCCCGACCAGAGACATACACAGGTAAAGGAACAGCAGACACTCGAAATAAAGGATCACCTGAGGATTACTCCCCAGTTTATTTCACCTTAAGATTAATCACCCTAACTTAACCTAATCTATCATAACTACTCTAACAAGACATAAAAATCTAACCTAACCCTCCTAAGTAAGTTTAATGTGTTTTATAATTATCAGTTGAAATAAGCTGGCAGGGCTAATCTTCAGATGATCCCAAACAAAATACGGGTCGTAATGTTCCCTTCGGCCTCATTAAGTGCCGCCATACCTGCCAGTCGACGCACTGCCTGTTAGCGTGTCAAGTTACTTAATATTTTTGTGTCAGTTAATTTCATCAATATTGTTTTCCTGACTAGCAACACATCGTTAATGAGTATGATTATTAACACTGTTTTTTTTTTCAAAGGTGCCTTGTAATTTTGGTCATGATTATGAATTAGTCAATCAAAGTTACTTGTGAAATTAGTCCTCTTAAAGTTAATTATAAATATCACTGAAGAATTCAATAAAATATTTGTACAATCAGAACAGTGAGCAAAGGAGTATATAGATTAAAGTAGTTCTCTTTTTTTTAGACTCATATGTTGAAAGTCATTCATTGTACATGATGGTTCGTTGCCGTACGACCGACCATAAGCAAACCACCATCCTATGACCTCAATAACTTACTTGGTTAATCACAGAGCTTGTCTTTTATTAATGTTATTCAGTTATCAACCATCAACACAAACCTTATGGGATGTTTACAACGTCCCTTGGTGTCTGTTTTAGGTCGCTTAGGGGGTAGGGAGTCACTCGTCCAAAACGTCGCTCGCTACTCCATTTCTTCTGCATATTGTCTACCATGACTTGTAGGCGGAACTGTACACACCGATGTCTTGACCGTGCAACTTCAAGAGAACGTAAACACAAACATCAAGGGACTTTGTAAACAACCACTAGTACTTTGTTTTCCTGTTGTTGTAGCTTCCATGTAGCTTATTTGCTACAGTATTTTTAATTTAATGTAGTCAATAAAATTCTAATATTATACTTTTAATCTAATGTAATCCATACAATTTAATAACATTGGTTGTTGATCGTCATAAATTGAAAATATATACATGTTTTAAATTTATTAGAAGGTTCAAATAAAACATGAATATTCGATGTATTTCAATGGTACCTTCACCATCTGGGGTTGAACCAGCTAGCCTGCTCACACCCGCCAGTGCGTCTCCTTCAACCAAACACTGCAGCCAGGGACGGCCATGCGCGCATGCAGCATCACTTGCATGACTATTGGTTTAAAGGCATTCGTGTGTGCGCGCGCGGGTGTGTGTATACTACAACAAGAGCGCATGCGGATATAATGTGTTTGTGAATGTATGAGTATATACTGGTATGAAAAATTTACGTCAACTGTATGAATATATATTAATTAAAGATATGATACCATTTCAATAAACCGCACTGCATCGTTAAGACATCACCAACCACAAGGAATTAACAATCGTTGCACGGTAAATTTATGCACATTATCCTTTACTATGAACATTTATTGTACGAGATAAAAATTTAGCTCTAATCTTGTCGTCAGAAGATGCCACGACCCAGAGCTGAGCCACAGGGGGGTATGTGGCAACTCACCAGCCAGTATTAGCCTAGCCCTGGCCGGAGTCGCACCAGCCACCTGCACCTCCCACATTCTGGCTGTCTTTCTGCTGCTGCTATTGCTGTCCCTGTCTTCTTATCACCTGCTATCACTACTGTTCCTGTCTGTATCATCTCTATTGCTGTCACCGCTGCCGTTCCTCTCATCTGTTGTTAGTGCTTATAGCCATTGCATTTCCCCCAAAAAATATTTATCACCTGCTAATTAATTCTGTTGTTACCGCTACTACTACTGCTTACTGTGCTAACTGCCGCCGCCGCTACTTTTCCTCTCAGTGGAAAAGGTTCCTGGTGGTGCTCACATCGCTCCCAACCTCGTCTGAATCGCCGCTGCAGTTAGTCTCTCCGCTGCCTCCTCGCTGGCTCAACCAACAGTCTGCTTTAGGGTAAGAGGCTAGTCGTATTAAGTCAACATCCGTATCCATTATGTGATACTGTAAACTGTCTAGATGATGTATATTACTTAAATACTATGAAACCTGTGTTATTATTTTAAGTGTAAATTGTTTAGATACATTGAAACCTGTATGATCAAACAAGCCAAGAAATTGAGGACAGGTGGTCGCAATGGAGGTGGTTGGTATAGTGCAACCAGGTCATTTTATGTACAGGTTATTTGTAGGTGAAAATTTTATTTGTTTGGTGTAAATTACACAACTAAATTAACCAATTATGTGTGTGTGTGTGTGTATTATTTAAAGTAATTTCTTGTAATTTTAACCAGTTAACCAGGTTCATTACAGTATGTAGTATCTACATTTAAAATTCTGTGTCCGCTATCCCTGAACCCCCTCTCCAGTCCCCCGCGGCGCCTCGTCATGGTACTGTTGGCCGCCGCTACTCGTACCAGTGACCTCATTCGACTAGATACAGAAGTGTACCCTGTGACCTAGATACACAGGGGTGCCTCCCCCAATCCTCCTGGGATGGTCCCCGGCGCCTAGTCTTTCCTTTGCGTACCGTCAGTGACCTTTTACGACCTGTCCATCTGTCATCGACGGTCTTAATGGTCCAGGTTATCAGAATTCACAATGTACAGATGGTCGCTAGGCTTGACTGGTCGCACTATGTATTTCTTTAATGAAGTATTGTACACAGGCATTTTTGTATCGTAAAAAGTATTACTCTTGGAATATCTCCTAATATCAAGTGCACATAGCTTCAAAATGCCCATGATATTGCCAATATCAATTCAGACTAAAAAATTGAAATAAAATCTGGGGGGGGCGCCTTACTGCCCCCCGCCCAGCTTTTTTTTTTTTGTAGAGAAAGGAGGGGTGAAAGAAGATTAGAGGTGGGGGAAGGAAGTTATAGTTCGGAAATTGAAGAAGTTTAGGAGGTAAGAGAGGGCGGGCTGACCGCCTAGCTAAGTTAATAGTGTGTTAGGGTTGTCATGAGTTAGTTATTGTCTGTCGGTACAGGCACTAGACATCCTACCCTATCCCATACATGGGTGTTTTAAGGGCCTTATTTCATATTCCGCCGACCCTACTGGCGGATGTTGGTCTAGGGAGGTTGTCTATTGCCTGGCCGTGTAGATCGGGGGTGGTAATGGACCTTTTGAGATTTGGTAACTTTTTGGGAACCATGTATGGTTGCTGTCGTTATCTGATGGAAGTCTTTGAAGGAGTTCTTGCTCTGATCGTTCTATTTTTTGTCAGATTCTGCTGGCCAGGGTGTGCAGCTGCTGGTTGATTGGTTTCATTCTCAGGTCTCTATGTATCTCGGCTGTGGTTCTGGTGAAGGGGTATCTTTCGCCTGTGACGAATCTTAGGGCTTCATTTTGAACCACCTGTAATTTTAATATTTGAGTGGTGCTCATAGTATGAAGAGGTATTGCTGGATAAGTTAATATCAGTGTGATAAATGATGTCACTGGGCGGAGTTTTATTTTCTCAGGAAGCGCTTTAAAGCGGTATAGTTTTCTCAGCTCTCTTCTTGCTTTTTCCTTCCTGGTGTGGACATGATGGGAGTAACCTGTCGTGGATATATGCAGGCCCAGGAGGGTGCCTCTGCTTTTGTATTCTATCTGGGCATTATTGGTTACTAATGGATGAGTTTTCCTTCTGCATAAGGGTATCACTGTGAATTTCGGGAGACCGGTTTGGATTTTCCATTGTTTTTCGTAATTATTTACCCTTTCTAATTCCCGCCTGGTGTTGTCGACCTGTAGCGCTCGCAATTATCCTTGATGCGTTGTTATTTGAGTGATGTCATCTGCAGACATAATATCTTCGTTACCAATTCTAGTGGGAGGCGGAGTGTCACTTGTGTAGATAATATATAGGGTGGGGGAGAGGACGCTCCCCTGAGGGACTCCACTCATGAGTGGGAAGGTCTCTCCTGTGTGTTGTCCTACCCTCAGTCTGGCATTTCTGCCGTCAAGAAAGTTGCAAAGCAACTTTTCAATGTTGGTGGGAAGTCCAAGTTGGAAGATCTTATATTTTAGACCGTCGTGCCAGACTTTGTCAAATGCCTTCGCTACATCCCGGAGAGTTAGATTACATTGTCTACCACTCGCCACGGCTCTGGCTATGTTCTCACATGCCAGGGCTATCGCTGTTGTGGTGGACTTCCCTTCCCTGAACCCGAATTGTCTACCGTTGACTCTGTTTGTTGTTTCCAGGTGATTTCTCAGACGGTTGTTGATGATTTTTTCTAGTATTTTTCCAGGTACTAGAGGAGGAAGATCGGTCTGTAGTTTAGTGGGATGGCGTTTTTCTTTCCTTGTTTTGGTGTTAGGATAATAATGGCCTCTTTGAATTTAGTTGGGAAGTAACTCGAGGCCAGGCAAGCGTTCATTGTGGTTCTCAGTGTGTCCATGGCCGGTTTGTTTACGTGGCTGAGGATCTCCTTGGTGATGCCTGAATAGCCAGGGGCTTTATTTTTGGTATTAGAGATGGCTCTGCTGAGTTCTTCCGAGGTGATTGGTTTGGATAATGGGCTGTCCACTCTCAAATCCTCCCATATGATTTCAGGGGAAGGCTGAGTGCAGTGTGTCTGGCCCCGGAGTTCATCAAGGACGAGCTCCTCGTGGGTACCATCGAATCCCCTATTCTCTTCATTTGTGATTTGGAAGATGTTCCTCCATATGTCCCTGAATATGGGTTCTTTGTCTTGGTCGTCATATATTTTACTTCCTACGTGATCAGTTATATATGATGGTTCGTCACGGCTGCAACCTTTCAATCTCTTAACTTGACGCCAGAACTCTTCTGGATCGTTGTATATATGTGAGAGTTCAACTGTTTCGGCCCGTTTAAGGTTGCTTTGTTCCAGAGATCTTGTTTTTATTTCCTCCCGAATTCTTCTGTATGTATTATAGCTTACGATGTCCCACACACACATAATATAGAAG